TTCCGAGGCTGTAAATCTTTAAGGGAGCAGAAAGCCTCATCTTTCTCCCACAGAACAGCTGGTAGTTTCGAACTGTTGACCTTGTAGGAGGCAGGAAATCTCTCCATCCTCGCTTCCAGGGAGCAATCCCGTAATACTTCCCAAACAGAGTTGCTCATTCTTCTGGCAATCCATGGCTATTCAATAATCTTCACCAAGAACACAATTCAAATGCATCACTTTTCTGATGTTCCTTATTCATTGTCCAGCTTTCACATGCAAATAAGGTGACTAAAAATACCATGGTCAGGCACACCCTAGTCCCCAAAGTGCCATCTTTGCTCTTTGACACTCTTAAAGAGGTCTTTTGTAGCAGACATGCCCAACATAACATTTCATGTGATTTCTTGAGTGTGGATCTAAGTAAAACGAAATCTTAGACAACTTCAGTCTTTTCTTCTCCATTTATCATGGTATTTATTGGTTTAGTTGGGAGTTTTATTTTCTTTATACTGAAGTGCAATCCATATGGAAGTCTTCAAGCTTCATCAGGAAATACTTCAAAGTCTTCTTAAACTCTAGCAAGTAAGGTTGTGTTATCTGCATGTCACAGATTGTTGATTAGTCATCCTCCAATCCTGATGCCACATTCTTCTTCATATAATCCAGCTTCTTGGATCATTTGCGCAGCACACAGACTGATTAAGTATGCTGAAAAGATATAACTCTGACACACAACTTGCCTGCTTTTAAACCAGTTTCCACTAATGGCTGCCTCTTGGTCTATGTACAAGTGCCTCAAGAATACGATGAAGTGTTCTGGAATTCCCATTCTGCGCAATGTCATCCACAGTTCATATGATCCACAAAAGTCAAATGCCTTTGCATAGCCAATAAAGCACAAGTAAACATGTTTCTGGTATTCTGTGCTTTCAGTCAAGATCTACCTGAGGTAAGCAATAATATCCCAGTTCCAAGTCCTCTTCTGAATCTGGCTTCAATTTCTGGCAGCTCTCTGTTGATGTACTTCTGCAACAATTTTTGAATTATCATCAGTAAAATTTTACTTGTATATGATATTAATGATATTGTTCAATGATTTCGGCTTTCCATTGGGTCACCTTTCCTTTGAATAGGCACAAATATGAATCTCTTCCATAGGCTGGCCAGGTAGTTGTCTTCCAAATTCCTTGGCATAGATGAATGGGCATCTCCAGAACTCCATAAGTTTACTGAATGATTTTGATTTATATTTCATCAATTCCTGGAGCCCTGCTTTTTGCCAATGCATTCAGTGCAGTTTGAGCTTCTTCCTCAAGTTCTACCATCAGCTGTTGATCAATATGGTACTTTTTTAAATGGAGGCACATCAACCAATTTTTTGATACAGTAGAGCTCTGTATATTCCTTCCATTTTAGTTGTTGTTAGGTACAGTTGAGTAGGTTCTGGCTCATAGTGATCTTATGCATAACAGAACGAATCTCTACCCATCTTGACCATTGTTGTTAAACTTAAGCCCACTGCTGTTGCCACTGTGCAAATCCATCTTGTTTTGGGGGTCTTCTTCTTTTTCACTGACACTCCACTTTACCAAGTATGATGTCCTTCTCCAAGATCTGGTCCCTCCGGAAAACATGTATGAAGTATGGGCAACAAAGTCTTGCCATCCTGGCTTCTAAGGAACATTCTAGCTACAATTTTTCCAACAGATTTGTTTTAACATTCTTCTCTTTCACCATAAAACAGAAGCACCGATTCTTCTTTATTCACTGTTCAACTCTCACATGCATATGAGGTTATTGAAAATACCATGACTTCTGAATACATGAAGCACACTTCTAGCACCCAGACTTGTCTCCAGTTCCTCAAATGAAAAATGGAATGTAGAAGATATCTGGATTTTTTTGGACCAACATCTCTTAACCTCTCTGCTTCAATAACCACCTCATTTCTTTGTGAATGTGCCCTTCCCATTTCCACAATGTTCTGCTTGGGCTGCCAAACAGCACCACCTCAGGGACAGGTGATCAGGTCTAGCTAACTAGTCACTCTCATCCTCCTAATCCTGAGTGGCTGGCTTAAGATGCAGAAATGTCACCTTTCAGCTGTGATCATATGGAAGAACATGAGACCACACACGATGTCGAGATAAGCTATGGACACCCTGATTCTGTTCAGTCCATGAATTCACACCTACACCTGTTCTTTTCAGTCATGTGAGGCAATCAAGAATCTTTTTTTTTTTGGTGCTTAAGCTAGACTGAGTTTCTGTCACCTGCAATCAAAATTCTTGATTAACACAGGGAAACATACCCTAACAATTAAATAGGTCTGGTACTCAGTAAGTTTCAAGTTAAGTATTTACTGGTTGACTAAGAAATGATCATGCAGTAAACATTTACAAATGTTAATTTCCCTCCTCCTGCTTCCCTGTATCTCAAGACATTTTGTAGAAATCTTTGCAGAGTAATTTTAAACAAGTGTAAGAGGCCTTAATTATTTCTATTCTAATCAAACCATGAAAAAATCAAGTATACAAAAATGTCTTTCTTAAAGGTAAAGACTCAACTTACTTAGTACTTATGTTTTAGAAAGACTTACTGTTATACACAAGTCAAAATCGACTTGATAGCACTTAACAATTATTGTGATATAACCATCAACATTTTGCCTCTGCGGAGTGTGGGACCCTACCCAGAGAAGCCGCAATGCCAGAGATAGAGGCAGAGATGATGACATGGAGAGACACAGCAGCTGAGGACTCTAGACTCATGGAGGAGAGGGGAATGTATGCTGGTGGGTAGGGGGAGGGCTTGTAGGGTATGCCCTTTGGCTGTTTGAATGACTATATTCCTGAGTGTTTTGATGCACATCAAAAACAAAAATAAACCAGAGGGAATAGAAGCAAATACTGTTGAGTAATGAAGCATGCAGGGGATTGTAATCATTGCAATGAAATGAATATAATAGGATGAGTGTAAAACTGATGTTCCCCCATGTAAACTATCACCCAATTCACACAAAAATTTTTAGAAAAAAAAAAAAAAAATTTGCCTCTGGAAAACATTGCACCATTGTTTTATTTTGATCAACTATAGCTAACACGGATTTTAACTCCAGCTAGAGCTGGTTCTCTAAATTCAAATTTGCTGCCAGCCCAAACTAAAGTTTGGATATTGTATCTTCACACTTGTAAAAGCAGAAACTGGGTTGGGGCCCAGCACTATGTTTAAACAAGCACCCCAGGTGATTCTAATGTGCACTCAAGTTTGAGAACAATTATGGTCGCAAAGTATCTCTGCATAATTTCCACCCACCTCTCAATCATCAAGCCAGCCCCTCTCAATTTTATTAATCATAATTATCAACAACTACAATGTTCCTTCCATTACCCTTCATCAATTCAGGATGATTCATTAAGCCCTGTTCAAAACACATGTCATCCAAATCAATCCCAGGGCATAGCACTGCTCTTGCAATTTAAGCAAGCACTGCCACAAAACAATAATTAATAAAGACCAGAAAGACATCATAGGAAACTTAATGACTCTCTCTAGGTGGTAGAATTGAGGTGATTTTAATTTTCTTCTTTGCACTGTTTCTGAGCTTCCCAAATTTTCAACAGCTTATGCGATAAACAGAGGCTATTTTTAAAAACAGTAATTTGTGTCACTGGGGAGACCAGGAATACAGACCCCCTCCCCAGGAGATAAAAGTTACCTTGAGGATGTTTTGGCATTCAACGAAGTCACTGTGGAGGTGGCTGGATGCATACAGTTTAAGGAGCAGCTGAGGAATTCCACTCCATTTACATTGTTTGTCCCTCTCCATCAAAAAAGTTTCAGTGAACTGTGATTCCGAGAAACACAAAATGAGAGACACTTTTTACTGGTGAGTAGAGAACTGCTAGCAGATAATGCAGAGGACAACAGTTGTCTCCTAAACTCACCCAGGACAAATATTTCAAATGCCTCTTTCTAGAAACAGTTCCCCAAGAGCCTATAATATACAAGTCCCGTTCCAACTCCTTCCCCTGTGATACAATGCCCTTGTAGTCTGTCACCTCTCTCAAATGCACATTCTAGGCTCCCCTACGTACATGTTCTCTCTCTGTGCCTCTAAGCACATGTTCTTCCTCCTCCTACCTAAAATATCCTCTTCCTGTCTTTCCTACCTGGAAAGTTATTCTCCTTCAAAATATAAGATAAAGAACCAGACACTTTTCTTAACTGGCCTTGCCCCTCCTCTAAGTTGTTAGGTACTTCCTCCTAATCTAACTCAACAATACAAAAGGATTTTTAAATGCACAGAGATTCTAAACAGACAATTCTCCAAGGACAATTCGCAAAATAGCCAATGAACACATGAAGAGATGCCAAACATCGGAAGTTAACAGGGAAATGCAAATCAAAACCACAGTGAGACACTGGTGGTAGTGTTGTGCCGTGAGTCTGTTCCGACTCTTGGTGACCATGATAGGGTTTCCAAGGTTGCAAATCTTTACAAGAGCAGAAAAACTCATCTTTCTGACCTTGAGGTTAGCAGCCTGATTTATAACCACTACATTACCCCAATTAGGATGGCTAAAATCAAAAAGTCCGAGAAAGTAAAAAGCGTAGACAAGGATACTAAGAAATCAGAACTCATACTCTAAAGTGGCTGGTGAGCTTGAACCATGAACCCTGCAGAGACTAGTGCATTAACTCACAGCATAAAATCTACCTATCTTTGGAAATTAAGAAATATATTTTTTTAAAAGCACATGAGTCGGAGACTTCCGGCGGCAGCACTCCCCTGACCAGTGGGACAGGTACGTGAGCTCGGGAGAAATACGGGACAGGGTCACAATAGGGGCCCCAGCCTGGTA